CAGGGAGCCCGATGTGGGGCTCGATCCCAGGACCCTGGGATCATGACCTGAGCCGAAGGCAGACGCCTAACGACTGAGCCACCCAGGCGCCCCGAGGAGCAAGGATTGTATGTGAGGAAGAGGGCCTGATAGGTTCTGGGCCGTTCTGAGGCATCCTAAGGTCTGAGATGTGCATTGGGAGTTTGCAGGAGCGGGGCGCATGGAGGGGCGTGTCTAGGGGCGTGGCCTTTTCAGGCTGCACGGCGAGCTGTCGGGGGAAGCTGGCGTTGGAACCGGGCGGGCCGAGGAGGAAGGGTGTGCTCGGGGGGCGTGGCCTTCCCGGCCCCGGCCACGGACAGATGAGGGAGGGCGGAGCGAGACAGGAGGCGGAGGGGCGTGCTGGAGGCGGGGCGTGTCCTTCCCGGCGGGAGGTGTAAGCTGTGGAGCGGCCCCCGGCCGAGGACGAGGGGCGTGTCCGGGGCGTGGTCTACAGGTCAGGCTCCGCCCCCGAAGTACTGCACTGAGCTCCACAGCTCCGTGGCCTGAGAAAGGCGGGAGCCATCGGGCTGAGGAAGTGTCCAGGCTGCAGGCAGTGACCGCGGGGAACCATGACTGCAGTGGGACGAAGATGCCCCGCACTGGGACCCAGAGGGTGAGTGACTGAGCTGGGCCTGAGGAGGGCCTGCGGGGTTGGGAATGGTTTGAGGGGAAATCAGTGCCCTTGGGGCAACCAACAAAGCAGGATACCCTGTTAGCATCAGGGACTTTTAAGTTTCCTTTTGGTGTAATTCTGTCCCTGCCTTGTCCTTGCACAGGTTGGGCATTTACTCCGCACAACAGTCCCAGAAGAGGGGCACTATTATCATCCCCATTTTACAGATGAGGAAAGGTCCGATTTACTTGCCTGCAACAGTGTGGAAGGTTAGAAGTTCACCTTCCTGGCTCGTGCCCTTAAAGGCTGGGCAGCCCGTTCCCCTCCAATAGGGCCAGGGTTTCTGGGAAGGATGGTCCTGAGAAACCTTGAGGATGTCAAGTCTAGGACCCAGGCTTCCACCCTGTGAGCAGGGGCCCTGGTGGTCCCGGCAGCATCAGGCCTGCCCCACAGCTGGCAGAGGAAACAGACTGCCCTCCATCCCCCAGTCATCCAGAGTGTCCCGTGGTCCTGAGGGGGGTGGGGTTAGCAGATTCGATTGAGGCCCCTCCTGGTGTCCTGAGACCCAGTGTCCCACTTGCCCTCCAGACCAAGCAGGAGGCCAGGAATTAAACGTTTCTTCCAGGAGCCCCTGAAGCCCAGCCCTGCATCCCGGAGAGCTGCTTTGCCTGTATGATCTCAGATTTGCCCTGCCCTACTCTGGGCCTCAATCTCTCAGCAGCCCAGATGGGACTGGAATGGTCTCTGATGATACATACAGTTTGGAGAGGAGGATATTTGAGAACTGCCACTGAGCAAGACTGGGGCCCCATTCCCGAGTGTCCCAAGGGGGTCATCTCAGTGGCTGTTCAGGGAGTGGTCTAAGCTGAGGTAGATGGTGTCCCTCCCCTACCCCCTTGGAGGCAGGCTGCACCTGGAGCAGAAGGAAGGAAGAGGAAGAGGTGAGGCTGCAGGAGTTTCCTGGTGCCCTGTTCCCTGCTGAGATCATGGGGGATGAGGAGGAAGGAGGGAGGAGGGGCCAGTAGCATAAGGGCTGAAGGGCCTTTAGCTCCCAGAAAGGAGAGCACCAGCCTTGCCTCCGCCTCCCCCCCACCCCCGCACCTCAATCTTCTGCAGGGAAATAGCAGGTCCAGAGAGCCCTGACACCCTCCCCTTCGGTCCGTGGTAAGGAGGAAGAAGGGGAGGCCCAGTGAAGAAAGGAGGCCCCAACACCTTCCACCACATCCATGCCTGCACACAGGAACTGTCAGGCCAGGGTCTTCCAAGAGGTGGTCAAGATACGGCTCACAACTGGCCAGACCCTGCCTGAAGCACCCCACAGGTGCCATCTAGTACCCAGGCCCTGTGAAGGGCACCTCTACTTGCTTCATTTTACCAGTGAGGACACCAGGACTCAGAGAGGGGAAAGGATTTTCCTGGGGTCACAGAGAGATTAACTGACAGAGCCTAGATTTGACCCCAGGCTTGACCAGCCCCCAAGTCACTAGGTCACATTTCACCTCCCGCCAAGTACAAATCCCAAAGCCATTTCTACATTCCTTAAATGACCTCCCATAAGCCCCTGGAAGGGAGATAATGGGAGCTCATTTTACAGATGAAGACACTGAGATTTTGTGAGGTTGCTTGAAATGACACTTTAGTTGAGTTGGAATTTCATTCCCTTTAATATTTAGTGTGATGCAACTATGCCCTAGACACTCTTGCAAGTTTTGGGGAGACAGCGATGAGCACAGCAGACAAAATGCTGCTATCATGGAGCCCCCATTCCAGTGTGGGGGAGACGTGATAAGACAGGAGTTATATGGTCATACAGAAGAGAAGCGCTGGGAGAAATATTGAAACCAACTAGGGGAACTGGTCACAGTAGGGGAATGTCTGGTGGTAGCAATTTAGGAAGGTTAGCCAGGAGAAAGGTCTCTTTGAGGTGATGTTTGGACAAAGGGATGAGGGAACAAACCCTGTTGATATCTGGGGAAGAGTGTGCCAGACCAAGGGAACAGCAGGTACAAAGGACCTGAGGTAGGAGTGTCCTTAGCATGTTTGAGGAGCAGCCGAGACCCACAGTGGCTAGAGGAGATGAAGATGGGGCCTGGGGAGTGGAGTGGTGGGAGGCGAGGCCAGAGAGGAAACGGGCTCAGATAATGGAAGGCCTGGAAGGCCCAGCAGGGACCTGGCTTTGACCCAGGGAGATGCAGCCATTGTGGACCTTGAGTAGAGGAGGGCGTCACTCTGATTTATGTTTTATGAGGACCTCTCCTTTGCGGAGGATTTGAAGGCAGTTCTACTCATCGTAAAGTGTCACACCCAAGTGTCCTTTCCCCCCTGCCAGATCACAGAGACCCAGCCCCCTCCACCCCACTCCCAGGGCTGTTCAGAGGGAGATTTGGAGAAGGTGGCACCCCACAGGAGAGCTCGGGACACCCAGCCCTGTGCCAGGCACCGAGAACAGGCCAAGAACCATCCCCCTCTCCCCATCCCATTTCCTTTTGGAATGTTGATTCTGGTCCAAGAATTCCCAACACTCCCCAGAGTCTCACGACCCTCTCGGCCCTGCAGAGTGACGTCAGCAGCTGGGCATCTGGTAGTGATTACCCACCAGGGGAGGGGGCTGTGGTGGGCCCAGCCTGTTTGGTCTCCTCAGGCTCTGGGCGGCTGGTCCTTGTCTTCCGAAGGGGCCCAGCTGCTCCCGGATCTCATTTCCTGTGGAGACTTTCTCACAGTCCTTGAGACCCCTGGATGCCTCAGGCTGTGGGAACTGCACTGGCTCAGGAAGGACGGACTGTACCCCCACCCCCAGCTGGAGCCACATCCCCCGAAACCCTCAGGGGACCTTGTTTGCAGAATCCTGGAGCTCTGTGGAGTATGGGGAGGAAGTTGGGTACCTCACCGACTGCACAACATTGAGCAACTCACTTGCCCTGTCTGACCCTCAGTTTCCCCATCTGTAAATTGGGGACAATAACAGCACCCAGGTCATAGGGGCACTGTGAGAACTAGATGAGGTAGACCATTTGTCCTGGGCTTAGCCCAGGGAAGCTCCAGTACAAGGAACTGCTCTTGCTCTCACCATGCCCATGTTTCGGAAGAGTTCACTGAGGCCCACTGAGGGGGACATGCCCAGGGTAATGCTGCTTCCCCCCTCCCAGTGGAGGGCCCTCTCCAGAGCCTGAGAGGGTCTTCTCTCCTCCCATCCCTGCTCCATTCCTTCTTCTTGACATCGATTCTGGGCTCATGGTCCCATTGAAATATTAGTTTTCTTTGCCCTCCCCTCCCCACCTTCTCCTCATCTCCACCCTGAAGCGCTCCCCTTTTTCCAGGGGAGCCTGCCTCGTGCAAGGAACGGATCTAGTCTGAGCCAGCTGTGTGTCCTGGACCAAGTTACAAACTCCACACATGCCCTCCCCTTTGCTCTTCTCCAGCAGAATTTGAATATCAATTAGTAGCTCTCAGGGCTCAGAAGCCTCAGAGAGAATGGCCCCCATCTGCCCTATAATCACAGGGCTTGTACCCTTTCTAAACACCTGCTGGCAAGCTCACCACTGTCAAGAAGACCGAGGGCACAGAATGGTGGAGAAGGAGCAGGGATGTCTTCAAGACAGTGGCAGGCAGCCCATCTTACAGGAGGTGGGGCAGGCCAGGGGCTAAAGCCAAGAGCCTACCTGGCAGAGAATCCCAAAGACCCCATGGCAAGGTGCCCCAGGGAAAGACTTTCTACCTCTGCTCTCTCTGCCCAGGGCCTTTAAAAACTAAGGAGCACAGAGCACTATTGCTTTTTGACCAGGGTGAGTGATGGTCGGAGCGAAGGGTCGAAAGAGTCTTCAGTCCCCCAGGAAGGGCAGAATGGGAGATCTCCATGGCTGGCAGCTGGGGCAGCAAGAGGAGCCTCGCAGGGTTTGGGAACTCTGCACCCCTCCTTTTCAGGATCCTTGTGGCCCCTCTGGGGAGACAGTTATGCCCATTTTACAGAAGAGGATAGTTGGACCTCAGAGAGGTGAAGGCAGGGGGAAAGCTGAGAAGCAGGGAGGCAAAGGTTGGGGAAGTGTCCACGTGGCCAGGCCTGGAGGCCCAAGGGAACAAACTGGCGGTCAGAGAGGCGGTAGACAGGTAGTGGGCCTCTGCAGAGGGCAAGTCTGCCCGTGGCAAGGGAGGGCCAGGGTGGGATGGGACAGCAGCTGCTCTCTACTGCCTCTCCTCCAGGATCCCTTGGGGGGCCTCACCCTTTCCCCCGGGCCAGGATGGAGGCCTTGAAAGTAAAGCTCAGATTTAAAACTGTGTTGGGGAAATAAAGGATAATGGGCTCTAATTACTGCTCATTAATCCAATTAATTAAGCTAATGTATGCAATAAGTGGTATCAGTTATCGGAACAAATCAGTTAATACAGGCAATTAAAGGGGTTGGTTATTTGAATAATTAATGTGGCTGATTAATGGGACTGATTTAGCTCAATTGTCAGTATTATTTATTAATTGATTTCACCACTAATATTAGAGAGGAAGTGCCTTTTAAGTCCATGAAATAAAAAATAATTAATTGATGGAGCTGAGTTTTTAAAAATGGAAGCTTTGATTTCTGCATTTGATTATTACAACGGGAGGGAGAATGTTCTAGAAATCTCTAAGCACACTGTGATCTGAAGGCCAAGTAGGAACCACTCTGGCCCTAAGGGAGAGAGGAGGTTCCAAACAAAGGGAACATCATGTGCAAAGGCCCTGAGGCTGGAGGGAGCAGAGCTCTTTGGAGGATGTGCAAGCAGGCTAGAGTGCAAGGAGGAGCAAGGGGACAGAGGAGGGTTGGCTGACTGTGCCAGCCACAGAGAGCTGAGCCTTGAGAACCAGACTTTGTTGCATGGGGCTGCTGTGTGACATGTATTCATTCAAAAAAATCTTTATGGGGTGCCTGGCACTGCTCTAGGCAGATCCCAATTCCTGTCCTCTCAGAGCTTATGTTCTAGTGAAAGAAGATAGTCAATGCATGGCAGGTCAGATGAAGTGCTTCAGAGAAAAAGTGTAGGGAAGGGAGGTGGGGAGTGCGGAGAAGTTCACACTTTCAGATGGGTGGTGGGGGAAGGCCCCACTGAGAAGGGGACATTTCAGTAAAGATCTGATGGAGGGCAGATTGGGAACTTGGTGGTATCTTGGGGGAAAGTAGTCCAGCAGAGGGAACAGAAAGTGCAAAGGCCCTGAGGTGGGGACAAAAGCCAGCAGGAAGCCAAGCGTGGCTGGAGCAGCAAGAGTGAGGGGATCAGGATAGGACATTGGGTGGGAGAGATGGTGAGAAGCCAGCCTGTAAGGCTGTCATGGGACTTCGGCCCTTACTCTGAGTGACACTGGGGGCCACTCCAGTGAGTTGAAGCAAAGGAGATCCGTGATCTGACTTTCACTTTAACAGGAGAGCTCTGGCTGCTGGAGTGAGAACAAGTCACAGAGGACACACACAGAGGCAGGGAGGTCAGTGATGAGGTGTGGCAATAGTCCAGGCCAGTGATAACAGTGGATCAGAGGCAGACATGGTGACATTATGTCTTGGAAATCCTGGAGTGTTGTAGAGGGGCAGGGTGATGTGATGGGGACTAAGTGTGGCCCCAAGCCGGCAGTTTCTTGGGCCTCGGCCTCCGCCCTGAGCTCCCCCATTGGCTCTGCCCACCCCAGCCCACTTGTACTTTGGTGCAGGCACCCCCCTCCCCAAGGCTCTGTTCCCTCCCCAGGGCCCCAGGGGAAGGAGACAGGAAGCAGGAGGAAGCACTGGGGCGATCCCAGTGTCCTGGCCAATCTGTTCCCAGCAGTGGGCGGATTTCCGGGACTGAATGGACGGAAACTCTGGGATGGGACACCTCACCCGGGAAAACCTGGCAGAGGTGAATGTGCAGGGGAGGGGTCCCCACTCCACCTCGCTCCCACCACTGCTTCTCAATGAGGAGCCCCTGGCCTCAGGAGCTGGGAGCCCCGTGTGGAATTCTGCCCTGGGAATACACACCTTATCCATGTAATTTAATAAATTATGTTTATTTTATTAAATTTATGACATTTAAATTTAAATATTGGGCTTTGGATGGGAGGAAGAAGTTCCCCAGCGTTTGACCTCCCTCCCTATTTTGCAGATGGGAATACTGAGGCCTCTCCTAGCCAGAGAACCAGGGCCCAGCCTGACAAAATTAATCCTCATGCTAGTGATCAACACTGGTTGAGTATTTACTATTCATGTCTTCCTTTAAGCAAACGTAAGCTCCTACTATACGCCGGGCACTGTGCTGGGGGCTTAATGATGAATAAGACAAGGTCAATGCCCTCTGAAGTTGTCAGGTAGTTAACAGTCAACAAATAAATGTAAAATGATCATTTCAGGCAGAGACTGAGGAAAATAAAGCAGGGCTGAGGACAGAGAGTGAAGGACCAGGGACTCTTCTAGGTAGGGTGGTCAGGGAAGGCTTCTCTGAGGAGCGGCATTAAGCAGAGCCCTAAATAAACTAGGGGGAAGAGCAAGCTGCATGAAGATCCGGAGGCAGGGCATTCTAGGCAGAGAGAACAGCAAAAGGCCCTTGTAAGAGTGAGCTTGGCGAGGAGGCCAATGTGTCTGGGCAGAATGAGGGATAGAATGAGTGAGGGAGGCATGTTGGGGTTTGGCGAGGTGGGTGGTCAGGTGCCACCAGGCTACCCAAGGCCTTGTAGGCTGGGGAACATATGTTCTGGTTGATGCCTGTTTTTCTGGCATAACGATGGGACCTCTCTACTCTCACAAGGGAAGAAAGTTCTGGCTTGGGTGATACATTACATGGCCAGCCATTTGCAGGCCACAGAGAGGGGTTTAGATCTTGTTCGGTGAGAGGAGGGTGGCCAGGGGCGTGTGGGGGGTGCTCTGTGCCCGTGACCTGCTTGTTTTCACCTGAGTGCCTCTGAGGGTGGAGTGGAGGCCGAGTGGGGTGTGAGAACAGACAGAGAGCCAGCGAGAAGGCTGCTTGCTGTGTGCTCCATAGAGCACAAGGGGCTTCTGGATGGAGCAAGGGCTGACCCTCGGAGAGATGTGGTCAGGACCTATTTTGAAAGTAGAGCTGCAGGATTTCCTGATGGGGTGGGTGTGGAGTGTGAGTGGAGGAGGAGGCACAGATGACTGCAGATTTTTTGGCCAAACAAAGCAACAAGGATGCAGCTGACATCAACCGAGATGGGAAGCGGATGTGGGGAGCAGGGGCGTGGCAGCAGGGGGCGGGTAGCGACAGTCCAGCTTTGGATGTGGCAAGTTTGCCATGACTTCAGACATGCAAGAGGAGATGCTAAGGAGGGAGTTAGGAGGGGCAGTTCCAGGCCGCATCAGAGAAAGGATGGCATGTAAGGTCAAGGACCCGGGGCGGTGGCTCACAGTGCCCCTCGCCCCTCCCGAGGAAGGATAGTATTTATCTGGCACCTGGGAAGGATAGCCACTGGCCTCTCCAGGCCCCTGAAGGCTGAGAGGATCGGTTCCACCATAGCCAACAGTCACCAGCTCGGTGTGCTGCTGAGTGGGCCATTCTGCACTAGGGAGAGAGTGTAGGGTGAATGGGGGGCGAGGAGGCTGAGCGCCAGCCGGGGGCCACCAGCCATTGGAGTGGAGTGGGGTAAGAACTCTCCAGCGTCCTGAAGCTGGGCGAAAACAGCATGATTCCAGAAGCAGGCCGCTTGTTAGGTGTGTAACACTGATCAGCTCCCAGAGTCCTTGCAACAGCCCGATGAGGCAGAGCTGTCATTATCCCCAGTTTCCCAGTAGGAAACCCAGGCTCAGAGAGGTGAGGGGACTGATCCAGGGTCGCACAGCTGGCGAGTGGAGGAGGAGCCCTGCCAGCAGACTCCGGTGAGTGCTGTCTGGTGCGATGCCCCCTCCTGCCTTCAGGATGAGCCCTCTGGGGCGCTAGGGTCAGGTACTAGCACCAGGCAGGTGGGCAGAGGCTGACAGCTGGGGAGCCAGGTAGGACTGGGGACACTCACCGCTCTTCTCTCCTTCCAGGGTCGTTGGAGAGCCAGAGGCTGGCGGGGACTATGTGAAGGTAAGCGGGGCTGGGCAGGGATGGCTCAGAGCCTGCTCCATGAAGGGCAGAGTTCTTTTCTGAGCCTTGTTAGAGGCCAGACCTCACTGCCTGGTCCCAAGAGGAGAGGGTCTCAGGGTTGGAGTGGCGCTTGGGATCTGGTTTCACTCCCAAGGATCTTCTTCCCATGCCTGCCATCATTCTCTCCTGGCCCCAAACCCAGGATCCCCCACAGTTTGTGACCACCAGACCCTCCCCCCCCACCACTTGCCACCTGCCCTGGGCCCTGGGATGTCTCCTCGTGCAGATCCAATCCCACCCGCTCTCTGAGCATGTGCTGGTGTTAAGAGGTAGGAGCAAGAAAAGACGCCTCGGTTTTCATCACAGAGAATGGGCCCAGCTCACATTTACCACAAGCTGAATTTGTCCTGGACACTGGGAATGTTGAGAATGCAGCTTTGAAACAATGATGATAAAGAGAGTAACATAACATCACGCGAGCCTACTGTGTGCAGAGCCCTGTGCTGGCTGCCAGCACTGGAGGGGAGATATTTCTGAGCTCTGTACATGAATGAGGTCTTTGACTTCCTCCCTCCCCACTGGGCAGGGAAGGCCTTTGTGTACCCATGGACATATGGGGAACTTGGGGCCCAGAGATGCCCAAAGACGCACAGTGATTTGCCCATAGCCACACAGCTACTATGGGGCAGAACTGAGTCTGCAATCCAATTTTATTTGATGCCAAGACCATGGACAGGGTCCTTGGCCTTCCACCTCCAGGAGCACGCACGAGGAGCCAGGCTCCCTGCTGAGCACGGAGCATACAGCAGAGGGCTGGGAGCACGAGGTCTTGTGTTCAGAGGGCTCCTGGTCCACCTGGGGACCAGGAGAGAATCACATGGTTGTTTGGGCTTGTGTTTTGTAATCCAGCAGATTTAGTCCCAGATCTGCCACTTACTTGCTATGTGGCTTTGGGTTTGTGGGTCACCTTCCTGAGCTTCAGTGTTCACTGTATGAAATGGGGGTAGCAGTGGCTCCTCCCAATGAGGGTTGCTATGGGCTCAATGAATCTGTGCCCATAAGTAGGGTTGCTGGGCCTGGAATAGAGCAGGCTGGCCCAGCTCCTGATCCCAGGGACATTCCATCACCCGAGATGCTGCCTATAAAGCCCTGTGTAAGTGACTAGCCATGAGGCAGCATGGGAAGTGCTCAGAAATCTGCCCCTCACTATCATCAGAAGCTTCAGATAGGAAGCCACTGGAGCTCAGCAGGTAAGGGATGACTTTCAGCCTGGGAGATGGGGAGGGGGAGATCAAGGAAGTCTTTCTGGAGGAGGAGGCATTGAAACCAAGCCATTGCAGTTGACCAGGAACATTCGCCAACATTTTGTCCCCAAAGGAAAAGCTGAAAAGGAGCAAAGATAAGCAGAGATAGTAGAGTGGTCCAAGCAGAGGCAAGAGTGTGGGCAAGGTCAGAAAGCAAGCTGAGTGAGCCCGGGAAGTGCAGCCCAGGGTGGTGAAAAGTTGAGCTGGAGCTGCTCCTGGAATCTGGGCCCTGGCTCTTCATTCAGAGCCCTTACACCACAGGGGGACAGAGGCCTCAGGGAGAACTGGCATCAAAGCCAGTGGGTAGGACACAGGGGACACACATTTTAGCACTCCACAGTTTTCAGATACCTGGCAAGGTAGTGAGATCTCCATCACTGATGGTAGTAAGATCCCCATGAGGACTATTAGCTCTGTATTTTTCCTTTAGTTTATAGAGCTAAACATGTACTTTAAAATACTATAAAAGAAATAATACCTGTTCACTGGAACTGACTAAAGGATGAAGTCAAAAGAACATTAGTTTTAGCTTCAAGCCTCAGACGGTGGTAGAATCAATAGTCAATTACCAACAATCCATTCCTGCCCTGAGGTACTAGCTTCCAGAACTCCAGGGTTCTCAGACCACGATGTGAATAATTGGATTCCAAGTCAAGGATTCTGAAGTTCCAAGACCATAAAATTCCACGCTCCATGCTCAGAGCTTCATGTGTATTTGTGGAAAACAATCAAACAACTGAGGCCCAGAGAGGTAGACTCACCTCCCTAATGTCTCACAGCCTGTCAAAAGGATTTGTACCCTAGGCCTGACTGATGCAGAGTCAGTGATGACCACCCCCCACCCCCACCCCCCGCTTAATTCTAGGACAAAAGTCCAGATTGTAAGACAATAAGCTTGACAATAATAGCATGCATTTATTGAACACTTACTTTATGCCTGGCTACTTAATGTGCATCAAAGTCAGCCAAGGCTCAGAAGAGTTCTGTGAGGTCAGCACAAGTATGTTTTCCAGATGAGTGAATCAGGGCTCCAAGAGAAGGGGCTGGTGGGGTAGAGGTGGGGGACCCCGCTAGCTGAACCCAGGTTGGTGCCCTAAGCATTGAGCCTTACTGGCTCTCTGCACCCCCAGAGTCTGTCAGTCCAGCATCCGGTTGGATTCTTGATTCTCCGCCCGAGTCCCTGATTCCAAATCAGAGGTGAGAAATCCTGGACTCTGGGAGATTTCCCGAGGCCACAAAGGATTTGGTCAAACCATACAGGGATTTTTCCAGCTTTAGATATGATTTTTTAATTCAGTCTTTGCCCGCTCCGGGTCAATGAAGGGTACGGTGAGTTGGGGGAGCCAGGAACCTCCCCCCCGGGCCCCGACATCCCCACCCCATCCCGCTGCCCACCCCCCCGTGACCGCCCCCCTAGGCGGGTCCTCTGCTCCGTTTCCCCCGACTCCAGGCAGCCCTGCGGGACTTGAGCGCAGGGGGCGAGGGGCGGGGAGCGGGGGGCGGGCGGAGGGAGGA